TCATCAGAAAATGATGAAGGGTCTAGGCCCGAAACGTCAGCCTTCCTGCTCCTATGATGCTGCTTGGCCTGCTGTGTTCATCCAGCTCTGCACCTTGTTGTCTCAGAGCATCCTACGCAGGCTCATCCCCCTATCACCCACCTAATCTAGGACAATTTAGCATGGCCAATCCACCTAACCTGCACATCTTTGGACTGTGGGAGGAAATCGGAGCACCCAGAGGAAACCCACGCAGACACGGGGAGAATGTGCAAACTCCACACAGACAGTTGCCCGAGGCTGGAATCGAACCCGGGTCCCTGGCGCTGTGAGGCAGCACTGAGCCACCATGTTTCCCATTTCCTGTTTTTGTCCTTTCATGACCTCTGTCCTATCAGGAATTCCCAAAATATTTCACTGCCTCCTGAGAGGATAAAGAGTCTAGGGCAGGTCTTTCCTTTATCCTCCTGACTCTGCCTTCCCTTCCCTCCCCATAGCTGGAAGATTGAGGATCTTGTTTTTGGATGGGAAGTGTCTGAAGGGACTGAAGGTGCAAACTAATTGTTCCTCCTCCACACGTAATGTCAATACTCAAACCAAGTGGGTTTGAGTTCAGAGGTCAGAGTAAGTCAGGTCATCACGGTGGCTCAGTGGTTAGCACCAGGGACCCGGGTTCGATTCCAGCCTCGGGCGACTGTCTGTGTGGAGTTTGCATGTTGTCCCCCTGTGTCTGTTTCCTCCAGGCACTCCAGTTTCCTACAACAGTCCAAAGATGTGCAGGTTAGGGTGGATTGGCTATGAGAAATTGCCCATAGTGTCCTGGGATGTGTAGGTTGGGTGGATTGGCCATGGGAAGTGCAGGGGTTTTGAGGATAGAGTAGGTTTGAGTGGGATGCTCTTCAAATGGGCAGAATGGCCTTCTTTCTGCACTGTAGGGGACTCTAGCCCCACTCACTCTCCCAAAATCCCCTTCCCAACTTCTGGAGCAGCAGGATTCTCTGAGTACAAACAGGCCTCATCAGATTCTGTCTCTGATGCCTTCTGCCTCTCGTGTCTTTCGATCGCCTTCCCAGGGCTCAGGGTGGCCAAGAGCATTGTAACACCCATGCCTTGTCTTTGTTTCTAAACGAGCTCTTGTCCCACAAACCAACATGAGAATTCAATCAAATGAACAATGCCATTTGTTTTAATAATATGATTCTTTCTCAATTCACGATGAGAACCTGTGCTGAGTTGTGTTATTTCAGCCTATTGCAAGCAGTAGTTCATTCAAAACACCAGGACTAGTTCCACCTTCCAGCAGTAAACTAGACCTCATCAAATGATGGACAATGCAAATTTCAGAAAACATGAATTCTAGAAGATACACACCTGTTTTTATCATCTCTACCAATGATGATGTTACCATGGTTATACAATTCAAGTATGCTCTTCAATAGCTGTTTGCAGTAATAAAGTGGACAGACCAACATGTCCCTGACCCTCAAGACATGAATGAATGAGCACCTTGTTCGTTCAGCTTTGCATCCTTTATAAAACATTCTTGCTCAGCAGAACTGCAAGCTGTTTTAACTCATTGTGTAACGCAACAATGACATAACCCTGAAACACAATGGGCAATGTGCAATCTCATTTCCACACCGCATAATCCTCATAATATTAGGATGGCATGTAATGAGTCTCATTGGGAAGCTGGTGTTAACTCGCAGGTATCAATGAACTGGGTAGGTGTTTCAATGTGGACTTCACAAGCTTCAAAATCTCCCCACCCCCGACTTCATCCCAAAACCAGTCCAGCTCGTGCCCCCCTCCTTGACCTGCCCGTCTTTTCTCCCACCTATCCGCTCCTCCCACCTCACTGACCTATCCCCACCCCCACCTCCTACCTACCAGCCTCATCCCCCGCCTCTTGACCTGTCCATCTTTCCTCGACTGACCAATCCCCATCTCAATTCCCCTCAACTACTCACATTTAATGGCTCCATATCCGCCTCCTTGACCTGTCCGTCGCCTTTCCACCTATCTGCTCCTCTATCCACCTTACATCATCACCTCCCCCCTCTCTCCCTATTTATTTCAGAATCCCCTTCCCCTCCCCCATTCCTGAAGAAGGGCCCAGACCCAAAACGTCAGCCTTCCTGCTCCTCTGATGCTGCTTGGCCTGCTGTGTTCATCCAGCTCTGCACCTTGTTGTCTCAGATTCTCCAGCATTGGCAGTTCCTACTATCTCCAACTTAGATTCTGATTTCCCCCTTGAACACAGGATCTCGGATAGTCACTGCACCACCCCAGCTGGAGAGCAAGTCCTGATCAGCACTCCCTTTCACTGGGATAGGATATGAATAGTCAGCCAGGGTCTCTGAGGCCAACTGCAACATACAAGACAGAGGGGCTGAATGTTAGTGAAATGGAGAAAGGCTGCTGAACAGAAGGATTTGGGAATCCTCATCCACGGGTCACAAAAATCTAGCATCCAGGTAAAGAAGACAAAAGGAATGTTGGCTTTTATTCCAAAAGGAGTCTACAAGTAGATTTTGCTAAAACTCTGCAAGGCCACAGCTGGAACTGTGATCAGTTTTGGGCCCCTTCTCTAAGGAAAGATATCCTGGCATTGGAGGTAGTCTAGAGAAGATTCATTAGGCTGATCCTGGGTATGGAGGGACTGTCTTATGAGGAGAGGTTAAGTAGGTTGGGGCCTGTACCCATTGGAATTTAGAAGAATGAGAGGTGACCTTATTGAAACAGGTAAGATGCTTAAGGGGTTTGACAGAGTAGATGTGGAAATGTTGTTTCCCCTTGTAGGAGAGTCTAGGGCATCACCTCAAAATAAAGGGTTGCACGTTTAAGACAAAAATGAAGTGGAATTTCTTCTCTCAGAGGGGAGTGAATCTGTGGAATTCTTTACTGCAGAAGCCTGTCGAGGCTGGATCATTTAGTATATTCAAGGCTGAGATCAATTTTTAATCAGAAAGGGAATCCAGGGTTATGAGAAAAGGTAGGACTGTAGAATCGAGGATGATCAGATAAGCCATGATCTCATTAAATGGGCAAGCAGACTCAATGGGCTGAATGGCATATGTCTCCTATTTTCTATGTTTCTATGACTCTCAGGTAAAAAGTGAATCAAATGTCTGTTAATATAAAAGGGAATTTTTTTAAACCAGTATGCAAATAGTAAATGGTTGGGTGGGGTCAATGAACAAAAGGTAGTGACATATTCTTAGAGATGGAGGATAAGGCTAAAATACAAAATGAGCACTTTGTATCAGAGTTTATCGCCAAAGAGTATGTTTTGATCCCTTTAGCTCTAAAAGCTCTATCTAACACCTCCTTGAAAGCATTCAGTGTTTTGGCCTTGACTGCTTTCTGTGTTAGTGAATTCTACAGGCTCCCCACTCTCTGGGTGAAGAAATTTCTCCTCATCTCAGTCCTAAATGTTCTAACACTGTATTCTTAGACTGTGAGCCCCTGACTAGCCAAGCATTGGGAACATCCTTCCTGCGTTTACCCTGTCTAGTCCTGTAAGAGTTTGATTTGACTTTTCATTTCCGTTCTGACCCTATCTGATTTGGCCTGGCTCTTGCTTCAAGAATTTGCTTTAAATGCATCATACATCCCTTTTGTTTTTGCTCAGCACATTGTTCAAGTCTCTTGTCATCCAAGGAACCCTGGCTTTGATCTGCTTACTTTTTGCACTTGTTGAAATAAACTTAGTCTTTCTCTGAAACATCTCCTAAAAATCATTTCTTAGAGTATCACAAGTCTTCTATGTTTTGTTCCATTTTACCCTGGTTGGATCCCTTCTCTTTACATTAAAGTTAGCCCTCTCTGAATTCAAAAGTTCTACTTTAGATTCTTCCTTGCCATTGTCCGTTGCTAATCTAAAACAAATGATACAATGATCACCCTTACCCAAGTGTTCCTGAGCACTCTATCGTTGTATATTAAGCACACAGTCCTCATTGCTTCTAAACCATGTTTCTCCACTTGCCACTGTATCCTATTCCAGCACAGCAATTTACACTTGTAGTTCACCAATCTTATTCACAACAGACTCAAAGGGCTGAATGGCCTACTCCTGTTCCTATTTTCCATTACCTCTGTTTATCTAACACCTTGTGCATTTACATACATGAATTGCAAAATTGTCTTTGTATTCCTTATAGTCCTTCTTAATGTGTTTCTATCTAAAATGGTGTGACTTCCTTCTCTAATGCTATCCAGCATTTTCATTCTTTTATGCACCCTGTTCTTTTTATTTTACTTTTATAGCTGGTGCCTACCCACTGTCCATTGAGATTTAAATC